CTGAGTATAAATCTAAACTTTATCCACTTGATACATTTATATTTGAGCCAGACACTCTGCATTCTACCTGCTCTATTACTTTGAGCAAATGAGTACACATTATGTTCATAATAAAATAAATACAATCTGAAGCACAACTAAATGACTACCACTTCAGATTTTGCAATACTTTTTTTAAGTAATTGTTTTAACCGGTAAACGTTATGTACTCACCATATATCAATAAGATGTAACTAAATTAAAACATAGAAATGGCACTCAACTCACTATATGTTTGTATTTCTGAGTCAAGAGACATATCTAAGAAACTTTTTCCTAGAGATAGAGTGTATTTCCACTATAACTCACATATAAAATTAATCTAAGTTTATTTGACAATTTTGGAAAAAAAATAAAAGAGAAGTTTGCCAAGATAAAACTAAGTTTATACATTTAGAAACAGTCAAATTGTCCGTCATACCACAAAACAGTGGTGAAACTAATCAGTTTTATGTTTCCTCTATTTTATTGCTAGCCAGCAATGCATACATTTGGATGCTCAAAACAAGTAAATGACAGGAGACCAGGATAATAAAGAAATGTACTCCTATCTACCAACAAGATCATATTTTTGTTCCTGAATAAACTTGAAGTGCAAAATCTTTTTAAGCAGTATTCATTAAACCTCATTTTCAAAAAAGTATAGATTCAGCTACAGAATGCCATCTCATGACATGGTATAGAATTCCCTAAACCTCCTAAGAGATCTTTTGCATTAATTTTGCCAAACACTCCCACAAATCAGCTGACTTTAAGAAAAAAATTACTCATTGCTCCTTCAGTCTTTATCATGGAAGAAGCCTAGACTGTGAGTCAGGAAACTCAGCTGTGCTCTCAGGATGAACCAGAAAGAAATCACTTAAAAGACTTGTTTGTGTTTCTCTTCTGTCAAGGACACTGTTTACAATGGTGTCATAGGGAAAAATGGGGACAGTCATGAGGTCAAAATAGTACGCATGCTATTTCTCTTCCTTGAACCACACTTTCCGAACTACAGTATCCTTCTTTGCTCTTGGCTCATATTTAATTAACTGCTTTATGTTCATGAAGTTTCTTTCACAATAATCAGTAGCTCATAAGTCAGAGATGGGGGCACAGGGTGGGGCAAAACTGGTTCTATACCAGTTTAAGAGCAGTCCTTTTTGCAACAGGAAAGTTTCCCTTACCAGAGTCAAAGAGAGCCACCAAAAACCAGCTTCATATTAATCTTGGGAACAATCTGACTTTACCTCTTTATTGGTTTTCTTTTCTTCTAAGCTTCATTAACATGAACTTGGGTCAAATTAAAAAAAAAAAAAACTGTGGAGAGCTCACTAAACCTAATTTCCTTTCGCAGTTTGTAAGAGCTTTCTTTTGAGAACATGTGTGCTAAGCCACCAGATGCAACTCTCCCAAAAAAGCAAGTTCAACACCCCCACTCCGTCCCCCCAGAACCCTTCCCCCCAGGGTGGGGGTGGGCCCCACTTCTCAGGTAGCACACAGTGCTTTTTAAAACTGCTTAATCCCTGCCGGTAGTTGAAGGTCTGTATATATTCCTTCCTAGAATTCGGGGATTGCTTCAATGAGAGTTAGGGGAGATGGAGATTCAGACAAAGCCCTCCTTTTTATTCCATCCATCAACATCACTCTTCAGTATAAAGCAAGCTAATCCATATAGAAAAAGACCCATAAACTGTTAGATTTTATTAATTCTCAAAAAGAGGGAATGCTAATTTTTAATACTTCTACAAAGAACAGTCTCCACATACTTTAGATTAGAAATCTGGAAAATAAAACTATGATCTTGTAACCATTTCACACTAAAGAAAGCAAGTTTATTACAATTCCCTCAAGGAAGGGTATTCCATGTGTCTGCTATGTTGATAGTTCCTAAGAAAGTGCATGAGGTAAGGCATATGTCCTGGAGACAAACGCATTTCTCCAATTCTGATAACTCATATGCCAAATTTTAATTGTTTTTGAGCTACTGATCTAAAGACTCTGAGTTTTAAAAGAAGGCAATTTATATTTTACTCAACAAATTTTTTTTAAAGAAAATAAATCAACCAGAAAAGCAAAATAAAAATAATTTCCTACTTTAAAGTTTTGGAATAAGGTAGAGGAATATAAAACCTCAATTTCAAAAAGTTCATAAACCAAGAAACACTACTTAGATAGCTCCTCCCTCTTTCAAAGTACTTATAGCTTATGTAGGGGACCCTATAAGGAAGAGACATTGTGCCTAAGGAGCTGGCTACAGTGCATGGCCCATTCACAGAAAAAATTAGCCATATACCACCCATCAATATCAAATCCAGAAATGACACTACCTTATAGCAATGTCAATTAATTAGAGAAAAATGCCATGGGTTGGCTCCTTTATAATTGCTGCAAATTTCTCATCTAAGTTCCCAGCTACAAATTATTTCAATGCACAATGAAACTACTGTGGTTAAACATTGAGCTATGAATCTCTAAGTCCAAAGATTCTGAAAATCTAAATTAATTGTCTCAAGAATACTAACGTGACACATGGTCAAGTTTTTACTGGCAGATTATACATCACAAGTAATGTTTCAGTTTCTCTTAGCAATACTCAGGGAAACTTGGCCCAGCTTTGGGGTTCTCTGAAATCCAAAAATATCTTAAATTTTTTCCATATATTCTCTATTTGGACCTCAAAGATTATCTACTCTCCCACAAAGCACAATGTCTGAAAATACAGTTGGACCACATTCTAAGTGTAACTGAAGAAAAAGATTATTCACAACATATAAGACATATTCCCTAACATGCAGATATAAGCAAGGGCCTTGTTGCTTTGTTTAAAGTTCAAGGACATATCTGAAGGTCAGGTAGGACATCAAAAATATGCACAGTCCTTTTATTTCAATTGCTAGCATGTTGTACCAACCTACTGATAACTCAAATTACAACATCTTGCAAAAAAGCAATTTTACCAGAAATTGCTTTCTCTCACACTGAGGCTTTGCAATTCCTCTTTTAACATCTCATCTGTGCTTCAAACAGGCAGCATAGAAGCAAGGAAGTGCTGCAGAGTACTTCTGGAGCCAGAGGTCTGCTCCATGCTCTACCTGCATGACCTCAGGCAAGAAATACCCTGGCAGGGCCTCAGTTTCCTTAACGACCAAAGATAGATAATAAAAGTATTAAGTGAGAAGAGTCAAAGAGGTAATTAAATTAAAGCTGCTCATTGCTGTGTCTGGCACACACAGTACACCATTTACCTTTTATCTCATTTTTATCTTTAGTTTAAGGGTTCAGGCATTGAAATCACTCACACTTGTGTTCAATTCCTTGCACTATATTAGTGAGCATTGTCAGCTTTGATTTAATTTCATAGATCAAGATATCTTAATGCAAGGTTTTGTGCCATGGACCCCTACAGTAATTTGATGTGATATCACTCTCAGGATAAAGTTTTTAAATGCATTAAATAAAATGCATAAGAACACAAAGGGAACAAATGACATAAAAATATACCAACCAAAATATTTAAAAGACAAATTAATGGTTCTATGCTTTTATTATGAAACAATATAAAGCAGCTCCTTAATTTTCTAGAAGTGGTATATGTAAGATATTAAGACATATGCAAGAACTGAAATGAGATTATGAAAAAATGAGGTTTCTACTTGTGATAATATCCCTAGTACTGGTACAACAGGGTTTTGTTTTTGTTTTTGCTTCTGTCCTTCCCCCACCCCGCATATATTTCTACTAAAAGAAACGCTAAAATTTCACTTCGAGTTTAGAGAAAGTAAAGATGCAACTTCAGTTTCTTATCCAAGTTTTCCTACTACATTGGCCCAGGTTAAGAACTCCTTTTTTAGAACAATCAATAAAATGGAGTCTGAGGATAAACCACTGAGTTCAGAGGATTAAATATAAAAAGCAGGTGGCACACAAGAGGTTCTCTATTTAGACACATTCATTCCTTCCTAGAAAGTTCTTTCTTAGGAAAAAAATTTAAGTTACATCCTCTCAAATTTCATTATTTAAACATCTACTTCTCTCTATGATCTGAGACTTCAGACCTAAATTTGTTGAGCCTTCTGAAACATCCCAAATCACTATCTTTCATCACATAATAACTTGAAGAGCTTTCCTACTATTTTAAATAACTGAGGCCACCGGTGCTTTCTAGTAAAAGTTTAAAAGAATGTATATATAACTCTTCAGTTTCCCTTAGCACCAACTGCTGTCACAACTAAAATGAAGTCACACCGATCGCACACAACAGTTTGAATCTTATACTAATCACTAATGCCTTGTCATCACTCTTTTTAAATGCTCATTACAAAACCAGTAACCAACCATGGAAAGACAGGGCATGAGGTTCTTACAATAGTCCTCCTCTGACAGCAACTGCAGTTCATTATCCTCTCTCCCCTTCACCAACCCCGGTGAATTCCCGGTCTTTGCCTACTCAGCAGATTCACGCAAGCTGTGCCGTTTTATGTAGAATCATACGTTCTAGCAGTAAAAATTTCAATCACCAGGCAATTTGTCTCCCACCCTCTCCTAGGCAAGATATGATTTACATTAATTGTATCTCTAAAATGCCTCTTAAGACACCAGCAAGCAATCAAGAGAACCAAAGGGTGGGTGCACAAAGAACATAAACGAAAATTTGAGCAAAAGACAGGCAAGTGAAATCAACTTAATTTCCCGAAAAATAACAGTTATTTTTAGAAGAAGAGGGATCTTTAACTTCAATCTTAACTTTAACCCAGTCTCCCTCTCCGCTGTGCAGAAACTGTCTAGTATGTTCTCCAAACTGGCTTTTATCTGACGTTCAGTTATGAGCCACAGCATCAGGAATGATGAGAAAGCAATGACAAAGCTGCTTCCTGCCCGTCTCCTTCCCAGCACCCCAGCCCTCCCCCCTCACCCCCGCAACCTTCATTTTCCCTAGCTACTAGCCTATTTAAAAAAGTTTCTCTCGGTGCCTGCCTTACCTTGAGTGGGCTGCCATCATTCAGCTTAGAGAGCCCACTGTCTTCTGTCCATCAGACCTTTCAACCCGCGGGCCCTGCTGCCAGCGTCTCGCTCACCATTTGCCGGAGCCGTGCGGGGATGATTCCCCAGCTCGACTCCCCGAGGTTCGGGGACTACCTGCTCCGGAGCCCCGGGCGCCCTCAGCGCAGCCTCGGGCTGGAAGCGTATTGGTTCGCACTAATCCTGATGGACATCCGGGCACTGGGGCCTCTGCAGGAGAACTACACTTTAGCGGAGCCCGGGGAACGTCGCGTCCGGATTCGGAGTGAGAGCGCGCCTGGGGCGACTTCTGGGCAGGGAGGCGAACGGGCCCCAGCGGAAAGCCCACCAGCGCACCGCTCGCACCGAGCAGCCACACGAATCGGGCCAGAGTTTGAAGGGAATGGCAATAGTCTTTTTGCTCCTTCGAAGTTGTCCGAGTTCGGCGGAATACCCCCGTCAAGAAAGTTCTGGTGGTACGGCCCGCCTCCTTAAATGGGCAGGGCGCTCCGCCGGCCGAGCCGAAGGCTAGGAGAGGCGAGGCGCGGCCGGGTCGGGTCGGGCTGGGTCGGATTGGGCCGGGCCGGGAGGGGGCGCGGAGCTAGCGCCGACACAGCCCAGCTCTCCGCCGCCGGCCCCGCCTGCGGACTTCTCGCTAGCGCTCGCTTGCCAGGTTTTAACGACGTACAAGCACACACCGTCGGAACACCAAGTCCTCGCAGCTCAGAACTCCAGCTATAATTTCAATGTTGTTGAATATTGCGGCCCAAGAGGCCGCAGAGAGCAGGAACCACTGCAGCAGTAAACCACATTCGCTACTTTTGATCACTCCAGAGCTTGCAATCAGGAAACGGACAACTAATGCACATATGTTTTACTTTGCTTTCAGTTTTGATTTCATTACATTGAGACGAATATTTACAAAACATCTTCCCTTTTGTGGCCAACATGCGTATTACAAAGAAAACAGTAACTCATTTGGGTCCTTAAGTGATTAAGGAACTGACGACAAAGTAGGCGCTCAAAGTACAAGCGAAATCGTGTCCTACTCAGAGGACCAGGAAAAGTATTTAAGCCGTGCTTAAAGACAAGCAGGGGGTGGGGGGCGAATAACCTTCCAAGGGGCAGAGATGAAAGGAGGTGATGCTTCAGCCATCGTTTAGGGACAAGCACGCTGTAGGTGCTAGAAACGCTTAAATGAATATGGAATGAATCCCTACTCTGTGGATTCCACATTTGACCTAGAATCGTGACAACGTTGTCCATCTCACAAAAAAAGTAGTTCACACTGTGTTACTAAGTCGTGGACAGACGTGTTAACGCCTGGCACCAAAACTACAATGCTGGGAGAATGGCCCAGTGCATCTCAAAGTATGCTTAGAGGACTCCTGGGAGTCCCCAAGACCTTCTCCGAGGTCAGAACTATTTTTAGAATGACACAAAGACAATATTTGTCTTTTCACTGTGCTGACATTAGTACTGATGGTGCAAACGCAATTGTGGGGAAACTACTGGCACCTTGGCAACTAATCAAGGCAGTGGGAGCAAACGAAACTCATAGTCACTGCATTCTTCACCACACATTAGCAGTTAAAAAAAAAAAGTTTCCTTTATGAAAGTCCTTAAAGAAGCAAGCAGTTAGAGTTATGACTTTCATAAATCTTGACCCTTGAGCACGGGTCTTTTTGATGTTCTTTGCAACAAAACAGAAAGCACACATCAAGCACTCTGCTGCACACTGATGTAAAATGGCTGTCTAGAAGAAAAGCATTCCTGTAACTGAGTGGCAAAACAATTCACAAGCTGCAGTTATTCTGACTTGGATTGGGCAAACATTTTCTTAAAAATGAACAAAGTGAGCCCGTTTCTTCAAAATCAACTGGCAATATTTATTGCCAATGATAAAATTTGAACTTTCAAGCAGTTTTGAAAACCTTACATCTGTCACTCTAAATTTGACAGCTTCCTAATACTTAAGGGGTTTCCTGACAAGATCTTAGTGGATAGTGATGAGTGTGAGTTTAGAAGTTCTGCATAATTTAATAACCAATAGTTTCCAATGACCAACATATGATTGTACAAAACCATGCACAGGTAAAAGATCCACTGAAAGTGCAAGACAGATTCATGGATTTTAATGTATCAAAGTAAGGAAAAAAAAAAGATGAACATACTCATTTCAGATTTTGCAATGTAACTAACCTTTAGGAAACCACACGTGTACAATTTGATATAGTCATAATATTAAAGCAGGTTATCAAAGTAACTCCTTTTCTGTGTGCAGCTAAATTATCATTGTAGACTTCAAAACAACACTGCAGAATAAATGGAGAAGCAGACAGAGAATCAAGCAGTCTCCTGTTAAACCAGACAGTAAAGAGATTTACATAAATGTAAAATAATGCCAATCAACGCCACTAATTTCCTTAATATTGGAAAAATGTAACTTATGTTAACATATAAAGGGGTTTTTAAAAAACTTAATGAAGATGTTAAATGCAGTAAGTCCTCTATATCTATGGATTCAACCAATCTTAGTTTGAAAATATTTGGGGGGAAGAGGACTACATCTGTCCTGAACAAGTACAAAAATTTTTTGTTGTCATTATTTCCTAAATAACACAATACAATTGTTTACATGGTACTAGGTATTGTAAGTAATCTAGAGATTTTATTTAAGGTATACTAGGATATATGTAAAGGATATATACATTTTATATAAAGGATTATAAGATCATTTATGCTGTAAACAAAATTATATCAGGCATAAAGTCAAAAAAAATTTTAAATATCATTTACTCAAAATTTCCATTTGCCACAGGAGGCTACAAATGTGCACTGCTAATATTAAATTATATTTTTCAGGGTCTGAGGGTGTAGTTCAGTAATACAGTCCTTGCTTGCCTCACATGTTCCAGACTCTGGGTCCACTTCCAGCACTATAAATAAATTAATTAACTAAGAAGTTACATTTTTTCCTCTGTAAACTGTTAATTGTTCTGATACCATTTAAACATGAGGAAATGATAAATACAACAAATATTTACCCAAAAAGAAATTCAGAATCAACATCAGATTATAATTACACCTGAGATTCCCTGGGCCCTCAAACTGGTTTGTAATTTTAATTAGACAGGCTAATTTGAAACAGATGTAGGATTACACTAGATTTGTAATACATCTAAAAATACTGGAGGGAAGTACAGGAGAAATTGTTCTACAAGTGAATACTGTATGTGACGGAAGAACTACTGCAATACAAACATGAGCATTATGATTTCCAAGTGTTTTGAAAACACCATTGTATCCAACCCAATCCTGTTCAGCAACAAAATGGGACAAAAAGGAATTCTTAACCTTTTGGGGGCACAGAATTCTTTGACTCTCTAATGAAATATGAGAATCCAGGCCCACACTATAATACTTTGATGTGGTTCATGATTCCTCTGGAGCCCACTTAAGGAGTATTTGAAGCTCTGTGGACTTCAGGTCAGAATGCCTAGGCCCTGGTCCAGCTAAAAGACCCAGTTCACCTTGCTAATGAGGGGTAAGATCACCTATCAATCTTCACTGACCATTTAGAAACTTAGAGCTGTCTTAGTAATTGCCCATGATGGTGAAATATTTTTCACAAAAGTAATGGAAAGATGCTGCATGACAACAAGATATATCTATACAACAAAAGAACAGATTTTCCTGGGCAGTAAGCATATGCCAATCAGTTCTACATTTCCTTAATTCATTAATCCTATAGAGATCACAGGTAGTAAATCCAAAAAAGTTAAGGTACACAGTTTAACAAATAGAGCAGAATTTATAATGTGAGACAGATCATTTTACTATCTGAAATCAGTTCCTGAATCATACAAGTACCTTTTTATTAGCTCTTGAAATTAATGAGATTTATAAATAACCTTTGCATACTGGTAATGTCAACAATATATGCTATATGTAATACATCTTAAATATAATTTTTTTAAAAATGCACTCAATTATGTTTAACCCACAGTGCCAGGCACAGTGGCACACGCCTGTAATCCCAGCAGCTCTGGAGGCTAAGGCAGGAGGATCAAAAGTTCAAAGCAGCCTCAGCAATTTAGGGAGGCCCTAAGCAACTCAGTGAGACCCTGTCTCTAAATAAAATATTTTAGAAAGGCTGGGGATGTGGCTCATTGGTTAAGTACCTCTAGGTTCAATTCCTGTACCAAAATAAAATAAAATAATAATAATGTTTATCCCAGAGTAAAAACAGAATAATCAAGTGCTTCATTGTTCATTTGGCAAAACATACAGATAGATTTAATGTAAATACATACTTGATTCATTTCAAAATATATGTACTGTTTTGAATTTAGAAGATAAAAGATAATCTTTCTAATGCATTAATTTAAATTTCTAAAAAATATAAACAAGTTGCCTCATTCAGAACCCTAAAATACCTGAGTGTATGTATTTGTGCACAATGATCATTCAAGGGTTCTACTACTTATAGGATTTTTCATCTATAAGTTATGCAAGTCAGATCCAAGAACTGCCACTTGGATGTAATGCCATTTAATGAGGACACTGCTAAAATCACTTTGCTGAAAGAAGTGTTCCTGGTTGCCATTGAAAGATCTCAAATGTAGCAGACTCAGGAAAAGAGAGAGACAAAGCAGGTGGGGGTGGGGGTGGGGGAACATGCATATTCCCTAGAGGACAAGAGACAGCAGGGAAAAGTGCTAATAAGAACCACTAGAAATTAACCGGCTCTCCCTTCAGCTGTGGCCTCCATGCAAAGCAAGCCCCACTTTCCTCAGAACCTTTCTTGTTCTCAGGCACTATTCCAGAGATTTCCATCTCTCAGGTCTTTCACCTTGGTTATGAAACTGGTTCAAATTTCAACCTGGAGATTCTCAGGATACATGAAGGCAAAGAGGGTTTTAACTAAATCTATATCCAGGTCCTTAATTTCCAAATGCTCTCCTTACCCCCAGTATTCAGACTCTCACTTTTCCCTTGCCTTTCCCTGTTCACAAAAGAAAAGCAGTCCTCTAATCCATCCCAAATCAGACTTACTAGATGCATCGCTCCAGGTGTTAAATACGTTTGGGGCCCCAAAAGAACGGTAGAGAGAGAGAGTCCCTGAGAGTAATGGGTGGGTCCTCGTTAAACGTATCCAGGTAACAAACCTGTCCCAAGGTTACCAGGCCTTACACAATAGCTGTACATTAGAAGCAAAAATAAGATGCATAGCACCACCAGTAGTCAGACTGTCTGAAGAGTAAATCGGATTTAGCTGACTAATTTAAGAATGAGGATTTGGAATCTTTCAACATTTTTAAAGAAGATTGCAAGCAAAAATATTTAGACTACTGTCTAGCTTCACCTCTTTCTTTACTGAGTGCCTTTACTTCTAGTCT